TATAAAAGTTTCACTATTGTTCAAACCAGCTGAGATGGTTACTAGTCTTACCTGACTGCCCTGAAACAGCTTTTGTTAATGACTACAGAACAATTTCTCTCCATTTTGCAATAGTACCAGGTGCCACGTGCTTACGCTTTGCATGAAAACTATAAATCTTGTTTCATGGCTCCTTTCTGTAGTGTTTTAAAATGTTTCTCGGTGGCAGAGGTATAAGGTCATGGAACAGATTGGGAATTTAATAAAAACTATGGATCCTGTCCCCTAAAAAATACAGGCATGAACATACAAGCACTTTTACACACACTTTCAACGGATTCGCAGCTCCCCAGAAATCCATCTGTGGCCCCTAGGTTAAGAAAACTTGCTATCAGGGAACACACAAGAAGACCAGGACCATTCATGGTTTTCTTCCTGGGATGGTCCTAGCCAAAAGAAGAGGCAGGCCAGCATTTTCTCAGCACTGGGGCAGTGATAATTATAGTACTTTCCACTGAAGGCAGTAATGAGGATGAAATGAATTAGGCACATCAAGAGGATAGCTTCAGCACTGGTGCAGAATATGTGTGCAATAAATGAAGGTGCTCTTATTACGTTTTTGTTTTTGTTTTTTTCTTTTCCAAAATGTTAACTTTACCAGGAGGATAATACACCAAGCCATTAGCACCTTATGGAGACTGAGTTTCCCTATGACCTCGCTGACTGGGATGGGGACAGTGATAGAACTGAGCCTCTTTGGGGAGGGGAGGAAGGAAAAGAAAGCAGAAACCACCCACTCTCCCATACTTCTGGAGTCACCAGGGTCTGAAGGGCTCTATCTTAGCAAGTCCTGCCCTCCTTACCTCGCAGGAGAAACGTCAGGAGCAGTGCCAACAGCACGAACCCCAAGGAGGACGCAATGATTATCATCAGGTTGTTGAAGTTGGGCGTTCCCATCACCTGGTGAGACACAGGCAAGGCCACGAGCGGGCCCAGTCATTGCTAGACGCCATCATCGTAGGACCACACCCCATCCCAACAACACCTTCCAATCAGCAACAGCTTCGCCGCATTCCGCCACCTTCTGCCCAATGTGTCTCAAAATCAAAACAAAGCCAGCTTTACAAATCAGGTATTTTTCCAAAAGTCTCTGAAAAATCTAAAACATTTTACACATATCCCAAAATTTTCTTAAGTCTTAGACATCAGGCATAGGAGGGCGTGAGGCTCAGGGGTCTGAAGATTCGAAATAACTGGTGAGCTGTGTTTGCCACTGTCAAATCTATTTCCTGGCCACTGCCTGAATCCTTTGAGCTCTCCCTAACCCTGTGCAGCTCTCTTCATGGCTGACTTAGGGTTCTGGAGGAAACAAGATTAAAAAGAAAATGGAGCTCAGTTTCATATTTTCTTCAGCCTTGGTTCTCAAAGTATAGCCAGGGAGTGCATGAGATCAAAATGATTTTCATGAGATATTTTCGCCATTTTCACTGTCAGTCTCTTAACGAGAGGTACAGTAGAGTTTCCCATAGGTGATGTGACATGTGATGATGTCATTGTTCTCATTTATACAGGGTTTGTGAAGGAGATGTGAGTATCCCTCTATCTCCTATTAAGCCAGACAGTAATAACGTTGGCAAAAATGTAGAACAATGCCATTTTTTTCTCACTAATTTTT